TTGCACTTGTTTTGTCCAACCTATAAGAATCATGACAAATAAACCATCACAGTTAATTTTGATAAAACTATTACAAGGTAGAGACCATGACCTTGGAGATGGGTTCTGAGTAGGAGAATTTCTAGCATCTGTAAAATTAGAATTCCAAAATTATATAGTGGTGGCCTTTATTAGATATACAACCTTAGTAGGATCAATCTTAGCAGCAGGAAAAACCAAGGCTAATCTCCTTTTCCAAACATTCTCGCCTATCTCCTCTTCCAAATATTTGAACTCACATTTTCTACATAGACATTCCCAAAGTCAACTAGAGTGCTATCATCAGTAAAGAATCTACCACACCAATTAAAGAAAGCAAAAATAAATAATACACCAATTAGTATGTTTGAGGATATTCCTTACAGATAGGACATAGGGGATTCAAGGCATGTTTTTAGTTATAAAGTTCTTCCTTATTGGCGAGTTGTTGCATGCCTCTATAACAAGTGTTCTACTTTTTGTATTACTTTAAAGTGCCAGATATAACTCTAAATGGACTTACGAACAGAGAAGGTGTGTAACTAGTCTTGCAAATTCTTGTCTACAATAGATTTTAGTTGAAAATGAGCCATCTATAATGCCACCATGTACAAAAGTGTCATTTAAAGTGTTAAGCAAGGGGAATTCTTCTAATATATATTGGTAATATTCTCAGCTGTGCATTGATTTTCAATTGAAGATACATTCTAAGACCCATTGAGAATGAGGTATAGAACTTTCAGATCTTAATCTAACAACAACCCCATCAATTGTTTTTTAAATTACAAGTGTTGGATCAAATCTACGACCTCTTACTTATAAAGAAAAGAAAAGCTTGTATGTCATTAAATTACAAGAGCATTGACATGACCCTATTAATTTTAACAACCTTGAAATTACTCATGCTTAGGATCTAAGGGTCAAGTCAGACTTTTATTTTTCTACCAGAACCAATCCCCTTAAGGGGCATGTCAAGCTTAGTTTGGAAGTTACTCCAAACTAGTGTTTTGAAACTCGAACCAGATTGAATGGTCTAACAATTGATCACTTAATAAAACAGCTTAGTTTAACCATTTAGACCACTTGAACATTTGGACTGGGTTAACCCAAGTTATTTTAAGAAAATTGGATTTAACTTGAAAATCGGAGTGAGTCAAAGTCTCAAAAAAGGAAAAAAGGAAATTTAAGCTCAATCGTTTAGATTTGTTATTTCTTTTCTCTAATCTCTAGTTTTTTTTTTGGTCTTCTCTTCTCTAATAGCTAATCTCTTCTCCACAACCTAGGGTCAATTTCTAATCTCTCCTCCAGCCTTTGCCTCTAGCTCCAACTATCTAGCCTTTAATATCGAAATCGGAAGATCTTGAGTTGTAACATGACGATGTCATTATTGATATTTTTATATATCTTGGGTTTGTGGTGTTGTTGTTTGGACAATTAGAACATATTATACAATTATGGTGTTATTTGTAGTTGATATATTATGGTTTTTTTTTACAAATTAATATTTTATTTATATATTTATATATATAAATATTATTTTTATATTATCAATTCAACTGCTGAATTAATTGATTAAACTATAAGAATCAAGAGCCGTCGCTATTTTCGATTCAATGTCTAGTTTGCGTTGGAGCATTGAGAAAAAGACCCTCCAAGCCCTTTAAAACTTTAACCTAAAGATGATCAAGGTTATTTAGGACACGCCACCAAGCTCGTTTTGTGAGGGGGACAACATCATTAATGTTCATGAAATCACAGAAACCAATACCCCATCTATTTTGGCTGACACAAACTTGACCAAGCTCTTTGATATACACTACTTCCTCCGTTTTTAATTGTAAAAAAAAAATTATATCATATAACTCAAAAAAATCTATTAATTATATTAATTATGTTTAAAAATAAAAAAATTAAACTACAGTATTTTTTATTAATTGTGTTAATTAAATTTTTATTAATTATTTTTTATGATTATGAATGATAAAATTATGAGAGTCAATTTAAAAAGTTTGTAATGAATACCTATTAAAAAAATACAATTTTACTTATATAAAAAATAAATTAAAAATGATTGTTTTTTTTTCATAAATAGAAACGGAAAGAGTATTGTGTTTGTCATTCTACACCTAAGAAGAAGTCAAATCAGATTTGTTTCATTCAACTTTCCAAGGGAATCACTGCTAAAGAAAAAACCATTTACAATGTGCCACAACTCACTCATTCCAAGCTTTTCAATAAAAATGCCCCATTCACCATAAGGTATTGGTTAAATAGAACTATCATTTCAGTCTTTAGGAATTTACATGTTGCTTTAGCATAGGTGCGTCACAGCGCCAGTGGGCCTAGGTCACCATTTTTTGGTTCATGTAAATTTTTATTTTCTTTTTTCTTTTTAACTTTTAACTCACTCAAATCTATACCCTATATGCTTGCTGTTCATATTTAATTTCGAGACAAATTCACATAATATTTTATTAAACAGATTTATTACGGGACCTGGAATTGAATTGAGTTTCAGATTTTATGACCTATTAAATATATGACTTGTGAACACACAGTAATAAGCGATCATGCAATAGATGAAGTAAAGTAATATTATTGAAAAAATGATAATTAAATATCTTTGAAATAAGTAAATGATAATTATTATTTAGTTTTAAAGGACTTGTTTGATATTTTAATTTCTTGTGAAATGACAATTATGCTGCTGTCAAAATTCAAAACCCAAAAAGAAAAAATACCTGCAAACTTCCGGCATCAATCTTCATCATCTTCCCAAATTTAAGCAATTACTCAATCAAAATAAAACCCAAATTTGGAACCCATAATCAATGTCAAAATGTCAAAGCTCAAGTTGTTGGGATGGCAACGCTTTGATATGTGAACAAAACAAGAGGAACAAAGATCTTAGATTTGGGGGTGCCAGTAATAAGTAGATTCCACGACAAGAATCAATGGAAAGAAAAGAATTGATATGATTGCATTTGAATGTTTGCTCAGTCATATATACATAAACATCAAGCCAAGAAAATTCATATTTTACAAAATAACACAACACAATCGCATTCCCTTTATTAAAGCATCAAAGCTTCCAGATTCGCCTAGAACGCAGCAATAGAGCAAGCTCCCTTCTTTGCCCAAAGTCATAGCTGTTTTGGATGGACAAGATGTTGAGAAGACTTAAAATTGCCATCATCCTTGTCTGTTGTCAATCCCATGGTCGAACTCAAAATTGCCTAGCAACTTTTTTCACTGTTACCCTCTTCTTCTTCATCTTTGTCTTCAACCTCCACATATTTGATCCTTCGCCGCCGTCACCGCCATGTTCGGTCTCAAAATAGCACCAGCGACGATGATGAGTATGAGCTTGATGCTGGAGCTTCGAAGTTCCTCCATTCTCATGGGTTTTGAATTTTGACATTGATTATGGGTTTCTAGATTTGGATTTTATTTTGATCGAGTAATTTCTTAAATCTGGGTGGAAGACGAAGATTGATGCATGAGAGTTAGCAAGTTTTTCTCCCCCTTCCATGGGTTTTGAATTTTGACAACTGAGGACACAATTGTCATTTAACAAGAAATTAAAATGTCCAACAAATCCATTAAAATTAAATAATAATCATCATATTTTGCGGTATCCAATTGTTATTTTTATATTTTAAAAATATTAATTTTTTCTAATATTTATATATTAATTTTCACTTAGAAATATATGTTAGAATAATTTTCAAAATCTTGGATCAAGTATAAGATTACAAGCGTGGTTCGAGTGTCATAGGAAAAGATGTGAAATAAAAACATAAAAATAAAAATTGGGTAAAAGTATAAATTTGGTCACGTATTATTTTTTTTAAAAAGCATATGATAATATAAACTATCAGATGGTACAAAATAAATTGTAAACTTTCAAAACAAAACATTCATTAGCCTACTATTAATTTCAATAGATAAACGTTATGTGGGGCTTACAATGACATGTGGTGTTCCACGTCAGCGTGTATAAAGATACAAATTTAGTCATAAATTATTTTTTAAAGAGCAGTGGATAGCCTCTATAATAAAAAATAGACCATCTAACACATTTTCATCAATTTTGACCAAACATTGTTTATTTTCAGACTTATATGACCCACAATGCATCAAACTCTCCAATTTTCTTGCCTTCATTCTCAATTTTAGTTCAAAAAGAAGAAATTTAAAGAATTTTTATTTAAAGACATTCATGAAAATGACACCAACAAAGTAAAAAAAATGATTCGTGGATAAATTAAGCTAAAATAAGCTCCTTTCATGTATAATAAGATTAAGCTTCTATTTCATTGGCATGATCCACGTGAATGCCTTCAGATAAAATATTTTTGAACATTTTATTCTCAAGTTGAGACTAAGAATGAAGGCAAAAAGATTGAAGAGATTGACGCGTTATAGGTCTCATAAGTATAAAAATAAATGATATTTGATTAAAATTAATAAAAAAGTTTGGATAATCTATTTTTTTTAGTAGAAGCTATCCAATATTTCTTAAAAAATAATTCATGATTAAATTTGTACATTTACACATGCTAACATAGAGTATCACGTGTCATTGTGTCTCATATAATATCTGTCCACTGAAATTAACGACGGGCTACTAAATATTTTGTTCGTTAAAGTTTATGATTTATTTATGTCACATTATTTAATAGTTTAAATTGTTAAATATTTTAAAAAAATAATACCTGGTCAAATTTGTTACTTCACCTGTGGAAATTTGCCTTTTCTAGCTTTTGGTTTTGGGTCGCCCTATGCTTGTGTCCCCTGGCCATATGAAATCTTATCCTAATGGATCAGCTTTCCTTACAAAAAGAGCTCACAATAATTCTAGAGAAAAAAAAAATCACATTATATTTCCTCTAAACAACAACGAGAATGGGAATTTACCCCAAAAAAAAAAAAAAAGCAACAACAACAATAATGGGAACATTATAAAATGGTCTATAATTACTTCGTTAATCACGTTTAAGCAACTTCAAGCTAAAGTTTCGTTTGTGTATCGAGGGAATTGGAGTATAAGCAAAAGTGAGATTCAAGCTTTGAAGCTCGGAAAGTTGGAGTGAGAGTGATCAGAGCGGACGGTGAGAAAATGCCTTGGACTAGACTTTCAGGGTCAATATCATCACCGAAGGTGGACGTAGCAATCGACATGGGCAATCCATTATTGAATCTCACCCTCGATGGTTTCTTGAAGATCGGAGCTGTAAGTGTAAACCCTTCTATTCTTACCCTTTTCGGCGTCCAATTCGAACCGAACCTAACGTTGCCGTTCTCTTTTTCTTCTTCAGGTCGCTGCGACCAGGTCTGCTGCTGAGGATACCTATCATATTCTCAAAAGGGGTCATTCACGTCTCCATCCCTCTTCATTACTGTTCTTTCTCTGTGTTTTTTTCCCTGTTCAAAAGTTCGCTCATAGAAATATTTTTAAGGTTGGCGTTTTAATTATAAGATATCTTCAGTGAACTGATACGAGTTATGATACTGTTCTTTCTCTCTGTTTTTCCCCCTGTTCAAAAGTTTGCTCATAGAAATATTTCGAAGGTTGGCGTTTTAATTATAAGATATGTTCAGTGAACTGATACGAGTTATGATACTGTTCTTTCTCTGTGTTTTTTCCCCTGTTCAAAAGTTCCCTCATAGAAATATTTCTAAGGTTGGCGTTTTAATTATAAGATATGTTCAGTGAGCTGATACGAGTTATGATACTTGCTTGTCTTAGAAATGACATCTTCTTCCACATTGTGCTAAAACGTTAATTTGTTGTGTCACATTGTTCCTGCTATTTGGAATACATTGGTTTATTATATTGTGTTGTAATGTAATTACTTTACTTATTCCTTTGCTTTGTGTAGTTTCATCAAAACTTGATTATGTTCTTGGTACTTCTAGCTCTGTTTCGGGTGATTTCACTTGTAAATTCTAAGAGTCTGAGGCTAACAAATCATCCTTGTTTCCAGGAAATGTTTCACGTCACAATTTTGAGGATATGGTAAGTTCTTTGTTAAATGTGGAGCAAGTTCTTCTGATATTTCCTTTCCTTTGCGAAGTCTTCCTTTTAAGATGCATCACGGTGCCTTCAGGTCAAATTTAAAACATTATAATAATTAATATGTAAATAAGAATGCTTGAGTCTATTTTACCTATCCGTGATGCTTTCAAGTAATGGTCCTTTCGAAAAAGAATAGTTGAGGTGAGTAACAAAAAGATGAAAGCACAGACTTAAAAGCGCAAGTTTTAGAGATTTGTCTTCTATAGAGAAGCGAGCAAAAGGGACATTGACTTCTTCTTCTTCTTCTTCTTTTTGTCTATTTTGATTTTGGGATCGAAACTCCAATACCTCAGTCCATAAAGACTGTAATATCATTGAGCCAGAGCTTAATGGTAAAATACATTTACATTTCATTGAACACGTTATGCTCATTGAAGAGTGTTATTGCAGCTGAAGAAGATGTGTAAAGAAGGTGCATATTGGGGTAAGACTTGTGTTGCATGCATGACATTAGGTTAAATCTCATATTATTCAGGCCATTAAGGATCTTTCCCTTTTCTTTTTTCCTTTTTCACTCCAACAGGAACGATAGCTGGTTTATATGTTGGAACCGAGTATGGGGTAGAGAGGATCCGTGGTACCAGGGACTGGGTAAGTTTTATCGATGTCCAAACATCTCTGACACACCTCTAGTAGAGAACTATTTTAATGATAGAGATCCATGATGTGTTAAAAGCACCCATAGCTTGAAACAGATAATAGTACAACGATTCAGAATATTATATCAGTATCTCTATCAGTAAGTTTCTAATATATTACGCGCTATCAGGCAAGTTTTGGCAACTCAGACATCCATTTATGGGTGCGTTGTTGTCTGTAAAATTATCAATACAACTTTCTAAATTTAGCAGCAATTGAGATTCTGATCTTAATATTTTTATTTTCATTGGAATTTGGATGTAAAACAGAAGAACGCGATGATTGGGGGTGCAGTGACAGGGGCAGTCGTGTCAGCAGTGGGCAACAATAAGAAAGACAGGATTGTGATAGATGCCATTACAGGAGCTGCCATTGCTACAGCTGCAGAATTCATAAATTACCTCACCTGATTGATTTTTGTTTATATTCTACCTGCTTCCACTTAAGCCAAATACTAAGGCTTCAAAATAATCATCATTTATGCTTCTTTCTCTCCTGTTTCTGTTGAATAAAGCACATGTTGTGCTTATTCGTATCCTGCTCCTGTATAAATAGCATGTCACTTCTGGCATCGGGCACTACGATGAATCTTTGTTTTCAAAAAAGTAATCTTGTGACGAGTCAGACCTGATACTCCCAAACGTTAATGACACATAGAGCCGACCAAAAAAGACATGTCAAGAAATAAATAAGATCTGGAATGACAAATTTGTTTTTTTTTTTTTTTGGGAGGGGGGTTGTGGAATCTAAATGCGTTTATATTATAAATGCAAATGGTAGGTACTATAAAACCCCTGCTTCTGCTGGAAGGAGCAAGACCATGTGCCCCCAGTAGAGGAGAAGGGGGCGAAAAAAAAAAAAAAGGCATGTAAATTCTAGACAAGTTCCCTAGCTACGATGACGGCTGTGAGTTGTTTATAAATTATAACCATCTAATGGAGCAAAATTTTATCTAAGCAAAGCCTGCATGACTTTTCACCATTAACAAGCATCCTAAGACCGTCTTTGAGCTCTGGTATTCCTTCCTCCAAAACAGCGCACACAGGAAATATGGGAACATCTTTCACTCTCCTCTGCAACTCTTCATACACTTCCTCTGCCCCTTCCTCATCAATCTTGTTTGCCACCACCAACGATGGCCTGTTGGATAAGCCCTCCTGATGGTACTCGAGCTCTAAAATCAAATCTTTCAACTGTACCCATGGTGGAATTCCTTTTCGTGCATCTAAAGCAGCAGCCAAGTCTACTACATAAGCCAGAACCTTAGTGCGTTCTATATGTCGCAGAAATGCATGTCCAAGACCGCGGTTTTGGTGAGCACCCTTGATGAGTCCTGGTATGTCAGCCACTGTAATTGATAAGTCATCATAGTTTAGATTCCCTAAGTTGGGCCTAAGGGTTGTGAAGGCATAATGACCAACAGTAGGCTTAGCCCTTGATATGGCTCCAAGTAGAGTGCTTTTACCAGCATTAGGCATTCCCACAAAGCTCACATCAGCAATGCTCTTGAGTTCTAATATAAGAACTGTCTCAGAACCAGGCAAACCAGCACTAATGGATGAGCTATCATCATCAGAATTCTGGAGATTTGATGCTTTGTCTTTACCGGCTGCCTTAACTATCAGGGACTTCCTGGAATCTTTGGAAGCAGAAATGTTACCCAGACCACCCTCTCCTCCACGAGCAATAATAATTTGTTGACCTTCTTCTGTTAATTCAGCCACATTGCATAGAATCTGTTGTTCTCCTTCAGTTACTGTTGCCAATTTGGAAGTTCTGCATGATGCATCAGTTGATGAAGAGCTGCCAGTAGGCTGATCTGCTTTGATTTCCTCTTTGCCACTTGTGGCATTAAGGGTCAAACCATCACCAAGGTCAGAAAGATCATCAACAAGTGCACCAGGAATATCCCAAGGATCAGCATCTGTTGAAGATTGAATTTTCACTGTGGAAGGAATATCACCTTTGACGAGATGAAGCACAGTGCCAACTGGTACATGGACAACCTACCAAATATAATGTAGATTCTGAGAGAATCCATCAATTCTGCATTGCACGAAGGGCAAGACACAAGGGCATAAAAGAAAAAGAAAACGACAGTCTTGAAACAAGTAGCAGAAAGAATAAGGTGAAGTCAATTACTTTATCAGCCCCTCTAGTTCCTATCATATTCTTTGATGCTCCTTGTCCACCTCTCTCTGCTATCTGCTCACCAAAATAACTATCACTAGTATTTAAAATATGAGAAATTTGATCACTTCATAGAAGTTTGGTAGATGATATCTGTACATACCAGGTGGTGTTGCAAGCCACTGAAGTCCCAAACTTTGGGGGAGCATTCCAAAATCACATCACCTCCTCTTCCACCACCTCCTCCTAAAATTAGAAGTAGCAACGTCATGATCTCCATTTCCCTTTTGCTCCACTCAAATTTCTTAACTTTAATCGGAGAATATTAGAGATAGAATATTTCTACCCACTGAATAGTTACATTCAACAACGATTAACAATGAAAAACTATAGGTATTTCATGAACAATAATAGTCAGAAATCTTACAGCCAAAAATAACAAAAATAGTGAGAAATGAAAAGGGAAAATAAAAGCATGAAAGCAAGACTATTTAAAAATCGAACAGAAAATTAAAATGGAAAAAAATAATATATAAGTAAATATTTTCAGGAAAAAAACGAACCATCAGGTCTCCCTTTGCGATCATGACGGCTACGCCGAAAGCTAGAGCAGCCATTACCACCATCACCCCCTTTGGCAAATATCTTGAACCTATCTATCATTCTTCTCTCCTGCAAATAAAGACCCCAAATCCCAATGCATTTCTCAGAAACAAAAAGAAATCATAGGTGACCAAATTTATTATGCATTAGATTGTTAACAAGTGGTAGCAAAAGAACATACGATCAACCTGCAGAGGAGCGAGTTTGGATTTCTTGGAAGGTGAATCCGAGCAATAAAAATGAAGTGTAAAAGGCCATCTGGATGTAGAAATTTTTGTGAAAGATTCTATATATTTAAGGGACCTTGGCCGGAACACCAACATCTGTGCCAGATGGAACAACCACGCAGGGAACAGAGGACGCGGGGAACAAATTCAAATCTAGATTCCAAGCCAGATTGAACAAATCAATCTCACCAGATTTTGGGAGTAGAAAGAACCCTAGGGTTCGAACGTTTTTCACTGCTTGCCTGAGAACAACACGCAGGACCGACAACGGTGGACGGCGTCCAACGGAATGTGAGATGCTTGTAATCACGAGATTGTATTTTGTCGGGTTTTTCAAATAGAGGTTTTGGAAATTGAAAAACTTATTTTAAAGAATGTAAAGAAGATTTTAAATTTTAAATTTTATAAAAAATAATAAAATGAGTAAAAATATTTAAAAAAATAATCTTCATTTAAATTTATCAATTTCAACTTCAAATTATTTAAATCCTTCCAATAGAACTATATACCCTTCAATTTCATATTTTTAGTTTTTTGCTATGTTGCCAGGGATAAGCCAGGTAAAGTTGATCAAATAAGTAAAATAGGCAGTCAAATAGAAACATATTTCAACACATTTAATATAAATAAGAACAAGAATTCAGAGTATACATGAATATATTTTATATAATATAAACATACTCACTACAATATTAAGCATTTGTTAGAACCATTGTTTGGTTTAAAATATAAAACATTTAAAAATAAAAGTAAGAACAAAATGGGATGTCAATTCGCTGCAAACAAACAAATAAAAATAAATAAGGTAGAATGTAAGGAAGCATTTTTATCATTTATGAGAGAAGATAGGAATCAGAGCAAGAAAAATGAGCCTCAGTTCGATAATATATTATCGCTTACACCTTACGGTATAAAATGGGTTTAGTAATTTGAGGTAGACAGACAAAAAAAGAGTACACAGAACGCGCAAAAGGATGCATGAAAATCAGGGTTGGAACTGCTCCGCAAGTTTCATCAGACTGTAAGTTTCAGAATCCGGCCTAGCTCCTCCAAGAATCATCCTTCTCAAAAGATTTGGTTCATAAATTCTAGCTTTTACATAAGCCTTAATCAAGGTATTATATACAAATGTGTATCTACAGTACCTAGCCTTGTGAAGTTCTTCAAACAATCTCTCCACATTTCTTACATCACCTTTCTCAGCAAAAATATCAACAATTGAAAGAGTGGTTTCTAACCATGGGGTTGAATTTCTGACTCTGTTGCTAACTGTGAAACGCATGCCCAACTCTAATGTCTTCAAGGCTTGCTCCGTTATACCTACTTTCAAGCAGCCCAGAACAAGCTGGCGATAAGTTATGGCATTTGGTTTGCATCCATTTGCCTCCATACACTTGTAAATTCTAGTAGCTTTATCAATCAATCCATGTTTGCAATATACAGACATCATGCAATTGAATTGCTCTACAGACTTCAATCCTTTCCTTGACTTCATTTCTAACCACAGGTCTTCAGCTTGATTTAGATTTCCAATTCTACCAAATGCTTCAATGGCCAACATGTAACTTTTAGATCTAACCACTGGTTGTTCTTGAATGATGCCCCAGGTCCTCTCCAGCTCCTTCTGCTTCCTCAAATACCCATACAACATCAGTAGGACATCCAATGTTGACCAGTTCTTCCCAGTAGCCGACTTCTCAACAGCTTCAACATAGGCTTCAGCTGCAGTATACAATCTAGCCACTGCATGTGCAGTGGCTAAAATGCAATATGATATTTCATTTGGTTCGACCTTCGTTTGGTTCATCTGACTGAAGACCTTGACCAAACCTTCAATATCATGTTCATTAGCTTCTATTTTCATCAGAATATTGTAGGTGGAAACATGTGGGGTAACGTTATCAGATCTCATTTGAGCCAGTATTTTTGGTATCATTTTCCTGCGATTCGGTGATGAGTGTAAAATTATAAGGCGGTTGAAAACCAAGTGTGAGATGGGATAACATAATTCCCTCATTTTTTTCATGTACTCAAGTGAAAGCCTTATCACACCCTTGTCCAAGCATGTAATCACTAGATTGTTGTAGAGCAACTCATTATGATATTCAGGAGGAATATGGGAGAAGAGCTTCTCACCATGTGATATTCCATGAAGCTTTGATGTAAATTCCAAGAGATAAGAGTAATCTAGTTCCCTGGGCCTGTAAGGTCTTTCTCTGATCACCCATTCCATCACCTATCAATAGTCATGCATGAATAATTGAATATATATATATATATATATAAGCATTTATCTTTACCAGCATCTTAAATCAACTAGAGCTAAAAGCATCAAACAATGGGGTCAGTACAGAAGTGTAAATTCTTCTTTCTGGACAACTAAATTCTTTCACCATTTGAATACTCTTTTCCATCTTTATCATGTTCTACTTCAATTCATACAGTAACAGTATATGCAAGCTCCTGAGAGGGAAAGTACCCTTCATTCTCCTATCAGAATGATTTTCTGAAATCCAATAAATCAATACCAAACTGGTCATAAAGATGCTTTTGCTTGACTCAGTCGCTTATCAGAGCAAAATTAAATTAAAAACTAAAACTACCAAATCAAGCCCAACTGCAAATCTACTACTAGTCACGGAAAGCAAAAACACAAAGGAATAAGGGATATCACCTCAAGAGCACGTTTGTTCATCTTCAGCCTCCTTAGACGGTTAATGGCATGAAAGATGTCCCCTCTATGGATAGGGAACCCATCACCCATCCAGCTCTGGAAAGCAGACCCAACTGATTGTCCTTTGGAGAGCTTCTCAATTCTGTAAGATAAGCACTTAGGGTTATCTAACGTTTTGGAGTTATCTTCAGGAAAATTTTCTGCTGTATGAGTGCACAGGAATTTGAATTTGAGATGGATTTGAATGACACTCAAAGCAGTAGCGCAAGGAGTTTGATGAATTGCTTGAATGAGCCTCTCTTGTAAAATGGTTCCCAGTATTCGCATGCTTCCCCGACAGAACACAGAGGGAATGAGTAAGATGCAGGTGAGGGCTATATCAAATATGCCTACATCCCAACAACACAATACCCACATGATTAAAGTAAGTTTTCTGTTTCTGGTTTTCTTGGCAGGGTTGACCATGCTAACAAAAAGGCTCAAAAAGTAATTCATTCAAGATTAAACTTATAAAACACGTTAATAACAATAAATTCATTGAACAAGATAGCTGGGCGAGCATATTGGCAGCAGCGTCATCATTTAGGCTGGACTAACTTACCAAAGAGTAATGTTTAAATACAATTAAACAGAAAGAAGAAAGTGTAAAGATTAACATTCAGAAATAGTGACCAAGCTCCAGTGACGACTGCATGCATGAAAAATCATAAAAAACTTATACAGCCAGGAAGGAAACCAGGGGAGGGTAGTGGGTACAAGTTATAAAAGTGACCCACCATTAAAACGCGTGTTTACTACAAAAGATAATTAGAAGGATTGTCAGTAAACCTCAATGCCACAAAACATCAAATCAAAAATTAATAACGTTGTTTAAGACTCTCCAAGCATACTTAGCATCTGCAGAAGCGGACCTATATTGATGCCCCCACTGAAATCTTGGAAATATGCATAGTTGATATAACACTTTTAATTTTTGTTCCAGATAGTTTGACACAACTCGAGCCAAGTCATTTACAAGACCATGCATCACAAATATCTTTAGCGTTTTCTATATTGATGATAATATAAAATGCTCAATAAACAGAATGCCAATAGTAATACACAACAAATCCAACAATAACATTGCAAAACAACACAATCCAAAGCATACAAGTCGCTAGACGCTAGTAATCAAAATTAAAAGGGCAGAAGTATCACACCCAGTTACACACCATTCAAGCAAAAAGCTAGTACCACAAAAATAAATATTCCCAAAATTCAAAAGCGTCAATATTCAAACGATTACACGACCAGATTCAAAGCCAATTTAAAATGAAAAAATTAAAACACAGCAAGAACAACCACGCGGGGAACCGATGACGCGGGGAACATATTCAAATCTAGATTCAAAGCCAGATTGAACAAATCAATCTAACCAGATTTTGGGAGTAGAAAAGGCCCTCGAGTTAGAACCTTCTTCAATGCTTGCCCGAGAACAACCACGCAAAGCTGACAACGGTGGACAGCGTCCGACGGAGAGTGGAATGCTTGTTCGACGACAAAGAGAAATGGACCCGCTGCTCACGAGATTGTATTTTGTCGGCGTTATAATTAATTTCAGGGAGAATTTGGTATTGATCGAAATTAGTTGCTCTAAATAATAAATTTTATTTTATTATTTTATACTTACCGCGAAAGTATTATGGATCTTTTTTATATTTTTAGTTTTTATATAGCATTTCGTTTTCTTTTCTTTTCTTTTTTTTTTCTATATTCAATTCTTCTACATTTAAAAGGTGGGACAATATTGATATTTGAAAAAGGTTAGAAAATATCATTCAAGCTTAGGTAATTTAATATCAAATAAGAATCAAAATATTTTAAAATGTCATGGTAGAACTATAAGATTAATTTAAAAATAATTTTAGATGACAAAAGATCAGAACATTCATGCTTTTTTTTTAATTGATAAGTAGTCATTTATTAATTAATAAGTATTCATTTACATTTAACATAAAATTATTCGCTAATTGATGAATTTTAAAATTTAAAAAAACTTGATTATAGAAAAAGACAAGTGTAGATCATATTTTAAAAAGTAATCATTCATTAATTAATAAATACTTGTTCATATTTAATAAAAAATTATTTATTAATTGCTTATATGAAAAAATTTAGTTGTACAAAGGGATAAATGTAAATTATATTTTAATAAATAATTTTTCATTAATTAAAAAATACTCACTCGCATTTAACAAGAAATTATTTTTTAATTGATAAATTAAAAAAAAAGAAAAAGAAAATCAAGAGCATTATAGTCTTTTTTTATATAAAATTATTTTCAAATAAATCCAATGATCCTGCAATAATATTTTAAAATATTTTAATTATTATTTGATATTAAATTGCCTCAACGTTTTTTTAATGATATTTTTTCTAAAAAATATGAAAAAAATCTTTCATAATAGATAACTTTAATCTTTTACCACATTAAGTTGAAAAAAAAAACTACGATTAACTTAAAAGAAAAAAGGTAAAATAGATACTCAAGTTAAAATATACTTGAGAGAAAAACTTATACATTTAAGTTTTAGCCTTATATACTTAAAACATTTATTTTTAATTAAATCAAGATATATATCTTTTATAAATTATTTATTCTATAGTAAATTCTTGTTATTAATATTATTAATGCATGAAAATTCATATATTTTGATTTGATTGGATAAAAATATATTAAATATATAAAAGTAAGCACAAAAGTCTTCCTCTATATTCAAATAAATAATTTTATATTAACACAAAATGTACAGGAATAGTGAAGTTATGGAGCAGTCTTTAATCCCTTCCTTGATGAACTTCCATTATTTCTACAAGTCAATAAAAACTAGAAACATGAAATAAAACAAGACATGACATAACGTAAGATACAGCACAGGTGCGAGTGTTGTGCAGTTACTTGTTACAAAGTTTTGAATCAAAGGACATATCGTCGTCATCTTGCGAGTATATCAACCGCAGCGCCTCAGCCAGAATGAGTTCAATTATTTTCCACGTCTGTTTAGCCAGTAGAGCCTGACTGAAAGAAATCAAAGAAGCTATCTCCATGATCTGCAACCCACCCTCGCAACGAGGCCGACATAGTTCTGTCCATTTTGATAAGTGCATCTTCCTTTCATTCTCAGCATCTCCCCACAGAAATCTCATCACCTTCATATTCATCTCATTGCAGATCATCTTGGGAATCTGTAATTAGACAACGGCTATGAAACGTGGGCTCAGAGTTGTTGAGTGTGTGTGTGTGTGTGTGTGTGTGTTGCAAACTATCTAGGAGGATATACGTAACTATCGTTTTGTGTACATGTGTGTGTAGCAAACTATCAGAATTTGGAGGTTTTTGTATATCCACAAATTTGTTTGGGTACTATAAAAATGAATCATCCTACTTGCATGACTTGTTCATATGTTTGGTTAATATTTGAAATAATTAGGATAGATTAGATATTTAAAATTACGAAAAAATTTTGATAAAAAAATTGCATTCAAATCTATGAAAAATTATATATCCAAGTGCTGAATTTGATCCAAATCTAGTAGAGATTAAGTTTTGCCGGGTAAGATCCCCATGACTATCAATGATGAGGAGAGATTCAATAGACGTCCGAATATGGAGGATCTGGTTTAAGAAAGTGGCCAAGTGGGGGAGTATTAGCTCTGCAGCTTTACTTGTTCAGATCCTTCTTTTGGTCTTGCAATTGCACAAACTTAAGAGGCACTAAGCAGTGTAATGTTTAAACCCTTCCTTTTTTTTTATATATAAATTCAGACTTTTTACATCCTTTAACAACCCCTGGGAGGAGTGGGGAGTCTCTCCCTTTCTTCTCTCTCATTTTTTTCTCCTCCTTTTTTAATCATCACACTTCATCAGATTTGCAATTAAAATCAATAATGGAAATTGAAGAAAAACAGAAGAAAAAGGAGAGAAAAGAAAGAGAGAGACCCCTCTCCCCTGGAGGGCTTCCCTCCCCCCTCCTTTTGATTAAAGTGACATGGTGATTGCCTTAGCTGCACGATGCTTCTAATAGCACTGGCGAAATACAATCAATCAATCTATCTATCTACTATTACAGTAAAGTATAATAGTTTAATTATCCTCATTTGAGTAATACTCTCTCTGCTTTTTTATATTTTTTTCATTTTATAAAAATTTATATAATAATGGATTAGAGTACGTGAGATAAAAAAAACAAAATCAACACAAGTTAAATATGTAAAATACATGTAATTGAAAAAAATATCTTAACAAAAAATAAATTTGACGAGTAAAAGAAGAGACTAGCAAGAAAATAGTATAGGTTAAGAATTCTGCCAAGCAAATTGAGAGAATCATCGTATTAATATGCAATAGACTAATATTCTTAAAATTATAATATTTTACATCATGTACGATCATGACCGGGGGTAAATTCTAGTTGAATCACTAATCATCAAACACAAACTAAAAGGGATAATATAAACACACGATTAATGTATGTTTGGTATAAGAAAAAGCGGTAACTAAAAAAAATGAAGAATGTATCTAAAAATATGAAATAGGTGCATTTACCATTTTCTTTTTAGAAAACACTTTTCAACCCACAAACATTGCCTTAAATTTATCAAGCTTTAACTGCTGAGAATTCGGACAAAAACTAGAGAACAGAGAGGAGCCTCAATGCACCTAGCGCACGCATGCACCATCTGAATGGTGTTGAATAGGCCCATAATATAATTCATAAGCAATCTTTTCAGAACAGAGCAGCAAGCAAAATGATTTGCTCGAATAGTGAAAAGAAAAGACATCTACTTAAATCAAATTAGATTTGGTCTCTCCCCAAAGTACTGCAGACGTAAAAATTCCAAATACAAATTACTGATAAATGGATTTAGTTTCAAGCAAGGTTTCAGGATACTCTAACCGTGATACGGTGACAGAAGTCTTCCCCAGCCCAAATTGTGCGCCAGCACCAAGATTGAAGAAAAGATTGTGGTTTCAAATAAACGATAACTAAGCCAAAATCAATATATAACAAGTATTTTTCAAGAGCCATGAACGATGTATCTAATTTAATGCAGATAAGAAACGTCGAAGCAACACAGTACGTGATGCCAGTAGCCACTTGAACTGAGATACTAGAAGCAATAATCAAATGTGATGTTTGCTGGAGAAAATATTACATGTATTTTACGTATATGTTATCTTTACCTAACCATCTTTATGCTCGCCGAACACTGATACAACAATTAAGTAACAGTCAACCTAACAGTTTTACTATCATACAAGAATAAATAAAAAATTAATTCAAACAAACCATCATCTTTGGAGCTGCTCAGATGTGGAATTGTTGGTGACCGACGGTGATGCAGCTGTCCTACCATTTAGAGTCCCGTTATCAACAGGTGCTCTAACTCCCCACCTACCCTCAGAATCTGAGGGCTCCAAAACCTTAATGAATCCATCTGTCAGCCCAACAGCCAATTGATTTGGCTCTTGCGGATGTGCTGTAATAACATGAGGGTACACATTTTGGCTGCAGAGGGGACAAAAAGTTGAGAAATTGTCAAGAAAAACAACAAATCAGGGTAAGGGACAAGAGAATGTTACTTCTTTTATCACCTATTTATCATCAACATGAAACTGATCAATTACAAGACATTTATTGGATATCGTCCTATTACAAATGCCCATGTTTGATATGAATTACAAGTTGCCATGGAAATACTAGTTTCATATAAGAGTTAACACAGATGTAACGTAATAATATGGCTTTTAATTCATATAAGATGCCCCCCATATCTTGGATGCCATCCATCATCTTAGATATCATTGTACTAAACAGAGGCATTTTAAATCTTGACTAACAAACAAGATGTCAGGGTCAAGATAACAATATATCAAATGACTCTTGCAAATATTAAGCATATTTTCAACCCAGAAAAATATTAAGCATGTGTACAAATTTGTGTAGTCATGAGTATCAAGGCCAATGAAAAGATACCACTAAGAACAATAGGCAGAAAAATCTTGTATGCACCTGTTCGATGACTGCGGTAAATAAGCAGAAGAAGCTATACGACATCTGGGTCTCAAGCTATCAGCATCAAAAACTCCAATATTTCCATCAGTGAAAGCAGCAAAAATTAGTTGGCTATTACAGGAATAAGTCGCAGAGGCTATGGAACCAGGCATTGAATCTTGAGGCACCCACTGAAACGCAAGCAAACAAAAGCTATTAATATATTCATGATAACCACAAACACACACGCAGCACTGGGAGTAGCTATTTACCTGTCGAATTAATTCAACTTTTGAAGCATCATATATTGCTAACTGTGTCTCATGGCATACCAGCAAGTGTACTTGATCAGAGTGGAATTGCACTCGAGTATCACCAGCAGGTGCCTTACCAGTAGGCATTGGGATTGATAAAGATTTCTTCTTATCCCATGAGTCAATGCTCCAAAAGAAAATCTACCCAAAAAGAAAAAGAAAAAGAAAACCCATCAAGACATAGGCTAGTAGTAGAGTGAAATGATGATGAAAAATATGGTCAAACATACCTGAGCATCAGCACCAGATGAAACCAAGATATTGAGGTTAGTTGAGAAAGCTAAACCAGTAATACGTTTCTGGTGACCCTTCAATTTAGACTTGACCTACAAACAAAGCAAGTTACATCACTAACTGTTAACAAAGAAATGAAAATCAGAACTGCTTAAACTAATTACCTCATCAACCCTGACATTGTATATATGAATAGTTGAATCTTCCATTCCGATTGCAAGGATGTTATTATCTTGGGGATGAAATACAAGGAAAGTTGAGGCAGGAGGAGGTGGCATGAAAGTTGTCATTACCTGCAAATTAACAATATTGTCAAGCTGAGATACAGCCTGCAACACCACAGTATTGCAGGCATCGAAATAATAAAAACTGTCAAATTACCTTAAAAGTCATCATGTTGAACAGAGAAATTTTTCCTCCACATGCAGACATAACATAAGAATCATTCTTTGAAAGTGCTATGCAGGGAACTGCTTCTTCAGAATTGTCTGGAACATCATTGATCATCAGAAGACCACTGTTTGGTTGCCAATGCTGGGGAGTAACACTTGCTGTGGCCTTTAAGAACAACCAAAACAGACTAAGGAAATTTTAAAAGTAAAATATCCGGCAACTATAACAAAAATATAGGTGCACATGCAACAGATGAATGGATATGCCTGCAGACAAATGCTATTAACACATAAAGCAAAAGAAAGGCATTTTAATTATCTAGATTTTTCAGAATACAACACCTTTCCACTAGGATTCTGTTCACTACGACTCCATTTCCACAGTTTCTGAATCCCTTTAGAACCAAGAGCCAGAAGGCCAACACCAGAATTTGTGTAAAGAAGACGAGCAACCTTGGAAAAATTGAGTGGGGTTCAGGAATCATAAAATTCTTGACAAAAAATAGACAGTAACTACTTAAAACATCCAATACAATCAAGGATAGGTCCCAGGGAATACTTTGTTGGAGGGATCGGAACTGTCTGGCATGGTAACTGTTCGACACTGAGAAGGATCAACAATCTCAGTTAGTTCCCAAGGCTTGGACTTATCAGACACATCATCCAGACTTCTTTGCTTCTCTATGCTTCTAGCTGAAGAATCTCCTCCATTCTGAAGTAAAGAACAAAATGAGTTTGATCTACACATAATCAACATTAGACTAGAAGAGTTCTACAACAAATTGCATTGACTTAATTTTCTACATAAAAGATAGTTTTCATCTCAATTTTCAGTCAATGTAAATTGAGAACTGCTGAGTGTCGATATCAATTTTGTATTTTGTTTATCATACAAGCATTGGTGCAGGCCCAGCAGGTGAACTTCTGTCCACACGTTCTACTTTATTGATGAGTGGGTTGATATTTGCGACCAGAGAAGAACCAGATACCTATTCCAGCAAAATAGAACTAATCAAGTTCTGGACACTAAAAAACCAGGGAAAAAAAATTTGATCACAGAGAGTGAACGCAGAGGCTCAAAGAAAATAAAAACCTTAGTCTCCAACAGTGGTTTAGATGCTTCATAAGACCGAGCTTCAATGGCTCTTAAGTACTTGAGGCCTTCAGCATTTGCAAGGACTTTCAGACCACCATCTGCCGTAGTAACAGCAAGCAGATTTCCTTCTCTATTGAACCTCAACCGAGGAAGACTCTGGGGGAAGGCACCAGCCATGTAAGAAAACAATTTAGGAATGAATCAAAAAATGTAGACAAGACAAGGCAATACTCACAGGAAGACCACCCTCAGCATCTGTACTGGTAAGAACGTTGAGATTATCCATATCCCAAAACTTTATCTGGTTATCTTCACCAGCAGCCAAAAAGCGGTTTTTTGTTGTGTCAAATTGCACAATGCCAGCAGATTTCTTCCTAAATCCAGAATATGCTCTCTTTATTGCTCCTTCACTTTCATTCCACTCAACTAGGAAGGAATCTCCATCTTTACTTGTCCCACAAGAAAACAATCTGAAATATGAGGAAGAAACTTCAACTCAAATTAACACTCCAATGGGAACCAAAAGGGGGCCAAAGCATTAAATTAAAGGGTCACATATCCAACATTATTCTTCATTATATTACCTATTTCCATCAGCACTATAAAGCATTGTGGTGCACCACTGCCCAGGGGCATCATAATCGACCCTGGAGCCCATGTTGTCATACAACCAGGCCTTGATTTTTCCATCAACAGCAGTTGAAAATATAAACTGCAGAAACATGAAATAACAAATGTTTTCAAACCACCAATCAGTCATCAGAGTCCACAACAGGCTTCATAACAAAGCAATGTCATTATTTGCACAATACAGGTGTGCCTATTTCTTTCCAAACTAGACACAACAAAGCAACACATGGATATGATACAATCAAAGCCTAAATGGGAGAGAAGGATAACATTTTTACCTGGATGTTTTCCTTCTGGTGAGGACAAACAGAATAAACTGGTGCTTCATGACCTTCAAGGTTAAAGAGCTTCCGGCCACTCAAATCCCACACCTGTAACTCAAAGTTTATATCTCAGGATGCATCTAAACAGAGAACTAAACGCAAAGTAGAAGGCAATTTTTCTCACCTTTATCAACTTATCATCTCCACAAGTTACCATGCATAGTTGTTTGTTGGGGTAAGAAAATGCCAAATCATGCACACTACCAATATGAGCATCAATCTGTGAAGAAGCAGAGACATCAGTGAGCAACCATAAATAAGTATGAAATTCATGCAAGAAAACAACCAAAACATGCCTCCAAATGCTGCTTTAGATCATTAGGTCCTTGATAGGCATATAAATGAACCAAATGTTTTGTGAAAGCAATCCCTGAAAAGAAAAATTGATTGATTAATTAAAAAAGGAAAAGAAAAGAAAGGAATCTGAATCCCATTCAAAAACTTCACATACCAAGAAAATTGCCATCTGGACTCCATGACACACGGCTAACAGATATGGCTGAGTCCTTCACAATTGCAGCCTGAAAAGAGTCTCAATCACTAGATTGCAGCATTTATTGGAGAAAAAAAATTATATCATTTATGATATATAATTAAATTATATCATTTATGATATATAATTAAATTTACTACAGGAACTGGGAAAGGGAGAGGTAGAATGAGAGGCAAGCTACACTCTTTGGTGATCTGAAAATTTCACCATGTCCACTAATATGAGGGAAGAACTAATGCTGGAGGAAAAGGGATATATGAACTTTATTTAAAATGTCTAATTGTCAGCAGACACTAACCAGTAATATTTAGATACCCTCTAGTTTGAGCATCCTAGAATTTCCATAGATACAAGTTTTCTGTCTCTATTTTTTTAATTACGCTAAGCTAACAAGGAACATGGAAAACTTCATCCATTCCACTAATAAAGTTAACCCAAAGAAGGCTCCAAATATGGTGGTTTATCCCCAGTACTGCAGTCTCAAAGTAAATCACTTTCTCCCCTCTCTCCCTTTCCCTCCTTCCCGGGCAAAGCTTAAATATTGGTAAACATGAGTGATCTATGTCTTTACTTTTTCATTTGAGAAACATTGCAGTTACATAATGTAATGTAAACCTGAAATAAGACAGAGCAAGCAGCCATATCCCATATCTTGAATGGCTTTGTTATCAGTCTCTCTCGTTGCCCTGCTTCCCACAGTGAAATTTCACCATTGCCACAGCCAACTGTTTCAAAACAATATTCCCTAGTCAGTGTTTTAGCCATCTAAATCATATTGACTGGATGCACTCAGCCTTCATATCTTCTCCACATACCAGCAAGTAGCGAATGGAGGGAAGGATGAAAATCCATGGTAGTCACCGTTAATCCCTGAGGTAGTGTACAGTAAACAGTCCTAGGTAAGTCATCAATCGACCAAGAGGCTTGTTGAGGTGGCACAGGATATGTAACCTGCAGTATTGGAAAAGCAGTTAGCAACATAGAAAAGAAAGCATGCATCACAGCCAAGTCTATGGTGTGAATACCTCATCAACAGATTGTGCTGAACGCAACCGTTTCATCATTTGCTCGTGATCATTGTTTTGATAGTCCATCATTCCAAGAGCATTAGAAGGTGTTCTTGAATGCTTCAAGACAGAGACTGCAAGAAATTAAATGAAATGTGAGCACGCTAAAGGATACATATAATATTCAAAAGAATCTATTCAAACTGTATATTGAAAATTGAGAATACTTAAAACTTCACTAGTTCTTCAGCTTTTCAATCACTATATAATGAGGGCAGCAGATGTTGAGCGAAGGATTATATTCACAAAAGTCCCAGCATAAAGAAGAATAAGCTCTCTTAAGGAAAAGATTTCTATGAACATTGAACAAAGTACTCCTTGCACTTGCTAAGACAAAAAAATCAATCTGTCAAGAAAACTATAGAAGAAAGTTAATCATAGACCTTCTTTCACAATAATTATCTGTGTCAAGGATCCCATTGCCCATTTCTTGAGCACAAAATTCTCCCCTTGTTAAAAATCCCACCCCAAAAATAAATCCACTGACCCTAAAATGCCTCAGAGAATGTAAAAACAGTTTATAAAAGGACATAGATATATAATAGATTCATGAATTCCCTTTCACAATCTTGGCTATATAGTTTATTGAAATGTCATCTACTTCAAAAAGGCAGTCCTTGTACTGAATTAAACTTAATCAAGGGCAAGGTATCAAACCTCAATTTTTAATATTTCATTGACTTTAGGGATTGGAACCCTTTAAAACAAGCAAAAATAAGGACTATTGCAACCAGGCTTCTGATGATCTCTACTCCAGATGTTTTTCCCCAGCAAGAGAACCAGATTGCATCACTAAGACTGAAAAAATACCTTGATTTGGGGGAACAGGCAATGATGAAGCAGCAACCACAGATGATTGAACAGATGAGGAAGGATTAGCATTCACCATCCATCCTGCTAAAGCATTAGCATTGGCAGTTGGTGGGGCTGGAGGAAATGGCTGCACATAAGTAACAGATCTGAATTAAAAATCATGATAAAAAATGATGTTAGCAATGAATTTTCAAACACCAGATACGCCAAGATCATACTCCACCATGTGCTCCAAGTGGAGCATAAGTAGAAGGCTTTGCAACAGCTGCAACAGGAAAAGTGACAGGAGTAGGTGCTCGTGCTCCATTTGGGGGTGAACAAGTGTGATCAGTGAATAGAGTTTTTATGTCTGGATTTGGTCTTGGGTTTTTGCACAGCTGGTGCTGCCAATTCAAACTGAATAGCAAACATCAATGAAAGTATGAAACTTAACAATGAAAAAACATGATTAATTAACTTATAAATATTTAGAGAAATCATCAAAGGATGGAAATTTATTCTGCTTTAGCATGTAAGTTAAACCAGTATGTGAAAAAGAATAATCAAATGTATAAAACCCATAACAAGTTAATGATAAATATACATTTCTTACCTTTGATTAATCAGAGTTCGCAACCTCGATGCCTTCAAGGTGGGAAATATAAGCTTATCTCGGAAGAGGGGATTTGCTTCTATCAATTTTTTAAGTTCTAATAGCATTATGCTTCTTGCTGATTTGGTATCACCGTACTTTGACAACTGTTCATTTTCCCTGCAGTAAATTGAAGGCCAGATTTCAAGGCAACAATCTCAATGACTCTTATGATCATTTTATAATAGTACCTTACTGCACTCATAGCAACCAAAATTATTATTAATAAAAACAGAATTAAATTACCTGAAGTTATCAAGGGTTAAAAGTTGAGTAATTTCTTTGTACAAGTCTTCGTTAAATGTTGAAAAAACTTTTAGATCTTTCACCAAAATCTCAACAGCCCTCGCTTTGTCATGCCTGAACACAAATGATAAAAATTTAAGGAAGAGAATAAGGGAAAAGCCAAGGGGCTGAGTATGTACTGATAAGCATCAGCAATAGTTAATCAGCATAAAGAGAGAAATTCAAAATACTACAATTGAAACGCAGATAGAGAGTCAAAAAAAAAAAAATACTTGTCGAGAGCCTCGAGATACTTCTGCTTCCTAATCTCAAAGAATATTTTCATGGAGTATCGATTGTCATCCACTTTGGTAAACCCAGAAAGGTATTTCTCAACCTCGTCCCATTCTCCAGCCAGGGCTTTCTCCTCAAAATATTTCATATTGAAGAAGAAGCCTGATTCCTGCTCCAGCCTAAACTCCAGTACATACATTTCCAATTCACCACAGGCAAAAGACATATTAAAAAGGTAAAAAAAGAAAAAAGAAAACCAACACAATAAGTAGAATAACAGGGGAAGGGGCTTTACTTATGCACAGTCTCCTTGAATTTCTCCTCCTCGAGAAATTGAAGAATCAGAAACACCAATTCCCGGCTCAGAGACGACATTTTTGCTGCCGAACGCAACTGAATCAAAAGATACTCGAGAGAATTGACAGATTAGAACGAGGATGCAAGGATTTACGAGTTAGGGTTTCAATTGAAGGCAAATGAAAAAACCGATGGTTAGAGGTTGAAGAACTTGAAGTTTAATGTATTCTTTTACGAATCCAGCGCCGAAAGACGGCTGTTGCGCCGCCCGAGCTTCTGTAGGCGAAGTGCAGTGGGAAACTAAGGTTCAAAGCGCGCAGTGTGGAGAGGCAAGGTGGCTTCTAGGGTTTGCCGTTCCATTGCTTGTGGTTCAACGAAAACAGTAGAAGAGGAAGAAGAAAAAGCTGCCGAGAAAAAGAAAAAGATAAAAGAAGAAGAAGAAGCCAGAAAAAGAAAGAGAGAAATGACTCGTTCTCGCTTTTTTCGAGATGAGTGACAGGTTAACGTACTTATACACGACAAGTGATAAGTGAGTGCACTTATTGCTTCGTAAGAAGGCAAGAGAGAAAGAAAGAAAGATGGACACGTTGGCCGAAGCATTTATGCAGCGAGTCAGGCACGTTAGAGAGCCATTTTTATCCATTTTTTTAATTTTTGTGGTTGTCCGGTTCGATGGTTGATGACTTGATGTTACATTTTATTACCAAAGTACCCTTTCCACTTTGCGAAAATTACGGTAAAGGTCCATTCTGCAAAGCGCAAACTCACTGTCTCTTGGTGTTCTGAACTAGTGTCACATACTAGTTGACACGCGACCTACTCCTACCTACGTGGTTCTGGCACAAAACCCTTCGCTTTATTTCTTAATTATCAATATTAATATTAATATTAATTATTAGTTATTAATTATTGCTATTACTTATTTAAGCTTATTACTTCTGGTTGGAAGAAATAAAGCCTGTTTGAAAACTTATACTGAAAATAATTTTTTATTTTTTAAAATAAAAAATAAAAAAATTTATTTAACAATATATTTTGAAAAATAAAAAAATAAAATATTATTTAAAAAACAGAGAAATGAAAATAATTTTTAAATATTTTGTGATTATTGTTCTGAAAAATGAGAGAGAATAAAAAAAAATATCTATTTTTATTATTTTTTTTATTTTTAAAATATATTGCACAGAACATCAATTCTTAAAATAATAAAATAAAAATAATTTTAAAAAACCCCAAAACTTCGATTACTCTATTTTTCAGTACCGTTAAAAGGACTACTACGTCCAGTCTCTAGTTGTGGGCAGAGAATATCTTCAGTGCCCGCAAACAAACAAAAATTAAGTAGTAATGTAAAAATAAATAAATTTAAGTCGCCTTATTATATATTTAATTGCAAGAAATGAAAACTACACCTAATGTAAAATATATACCCCTCATGTCCTTTTTATAAAATAGAAAGAAAAATTTAGTGGCATTTGTTAATTTTTAATTATTCTCTTTATATTTTTATTATTATTAAATGCTTTGAATAAAAAAATTAATAATAAAATTTAAAAATATTTATTATGGGTAGGAATAAAGATGAAAACGTGTTAAGTTTTAAGATAAAATTAATGAAGTTTAAAATTTTTTAATTTCAGTAAAACATGTTAGAAATAACTTATAAATAGGAATAGAGGGAATATATATATAATAGGCTTAAAAATATATATATTTTGTTGGCAAAAAAAAAACAGATACTCCATACTTAGATTAAAGTTTTAATCTTAAAATGTTTGATTGATATATATATATATATATAAGTTAAAAATTCAATAATATGTTTCTCATCCTTTAAAATTTATAATGGACCAATAATTCTTCTATGAATTAAGGTTTATTTTTCCTCTAAACTTTTTTCAATATGTGTTAGGCACCTTGTATTAATAAATGAGAGAATTTTTTTCCTAAACTATTTTTTCAAGGAACAAAATACTTCTTACGTTAGTCACTCGTTAATTTTATCATTTTTCTACTAACATAATATATGATGGGGCCCACGCACAGTGACATATGGGATTGTGATCATGTCCTCTGATGCTAATTTATTCATAAATTTTTTTATTAAGAGCGTTAATAGAAAGACTTTAAAGTACCAATAATTCTTGAAAAAAATATTTTAGTACACCTAACATTCCTAAAAAAAAATAATTCAATGGCAAATTAGTATCAAAGAACATATATAGGATTCTAATTGTCATCACTAGAAAATGAAAAAGTTAATGGTTGAATAAAATGGATTTTTTTGCTCATTAGAAAAATAGTTTAGGAAAAAATTGTTACACTTATCAATACAAAGTAATCAACACTTCTTAAAAAACTTACAAATAAAAATAAACTTTAATCTTCTTTTATCATTGATTATTAACTAATAAATAATGCATTATGTTTTTCAAATTAAATCTCATTGTTCGGAAATAACAAGCAATCATATAAATGACAAAACCAAGTAACATTCTCCGCTAAGAGCATCAAACTTGCTTTTTCTTTTTGTTCTGTACGCAGGGGTGCGCATTAATAAAATTGGATTACTCATTGATTCACTAAACTGATCAAAGTGGATAAATTTAGAACTAGAGAATTGCTTGAAGTGAAATCTTTCATAGTTTTGTTTGTGCCCCAGAAAAAATAGTCAAGTTTAGATAAATAAGTTGAATTGGATTAAGTCATGAAATATTTTCATTCATACATGTGCATCATTACACACACGTGTATGTAACATTACAGCCTTCATGTCTTATTTACAAGGCAAAAAAAAAAAAAGATTTTGTTGTCTCATTGGTAAGTCATGTTGTTACATTTTTGTCACAAATTTCTCATGTTATCCCTCGTCACATCTTGGCAAGACATGAGAAAAAATACTCCTTTGATCTATATTACAAGACACTCCTAATTATCTTGCTAGAACTAATAAGAGGTTGTTAAGACTTTAATTTTGTCTAAAATAGGATAATCCAATCTTACCCCGATTTAAATGTAAAATTTTAAAATTTATATTATATTCTCTCTCATAGTTAATGAGTTTAAATAAGATAATATTATAATACTGTAATTAATATTTCATTAATTGCCTTATATTAAAAATTAAAAAATTCTTTAAAATGCATCTTATAATAGAGACTGGAGTAGTATATTGTTGAAAATATATATATATATATATATATATGTATATATATATTTAATATGCAAAAAATTTAGAACTTATTGAATTTTTAGATTAAGCTAGCGATTTTTAAATTTTTTTTAGTTCTAAAGAAATATGTTGAAAATAATTTATGAATAAAATCATGACAACATTTGATTTCACGAACCCGAGTTGATTTTAACTTGATAAACTTATTTTGTACCACAGTTATGAGCTACTCCCTTGATCCAAAATATAAGCAATTTTTAGAAAAAGAATTTACATGCTGATAAAGTCCTTGTTCCCATAAAAATATATGTTATTTTCTTTTTTACTCCTAGTTTCAATTATCAATGCATCTTACAACGAGTACAAGATGCATTAACATAAAGATTTAGGTTAATAAATGTAATGGATAATTTTTTTTATGTATAATAGGTTACTTATATTTTGAACCAATATTAGTTAATAAGAAGTGTTTATATTTTGAACCAAATGGAGTATTAGTTTAGTCAAAGTAGTAAAAATAAAAAAAATACTCCATTCATTTTAAATTATAAGATACTCATTCTATCCAAAATATAAGATATTTTTAACTATAATTTGAATACCAATCAAATTCAATTATATCCTTATTTTCAATTATAAATATCATAAGTTTTTTTTTTTACCCTTTTCTTCAACTGTCAATAATAAATGAAATAAGAGAGATAACATTTTTTAATAAAATACTATAATATAAAAAGCACGACTTTTTTTGCAAACTAATAAAATTTTAGCTATCATGAATAATGAGAAAAATGTAATAAATACTAATTACATCACACAACAAACTATGTTAATAAATATAGGGGTAAAATAGAAAAAAGATTTCAAAATATACTAAGTATCTTATGAGTGTCTTATAATTTTGACAAAAATAAGACTTCATTAATGACACATTTTTAATATTACCCTTTCCCCATACTATCTCTCTTTAATATTCTCTTATAAATGAAGTATTAAATAAAGATTATTTTTAAAATTTTATATTTTTATTTTAAAATAATAAGATTGTAAAATTTATTTGATGAACTTCATTAGCATGTATGATTTTATTTAGAAGCATCTTAGTAATTATTTAAAATGGGGGGAGTGCTGCATACATAAGTCATGAGTTTGCGCGCCCCAATTGCAGGACTTTCAAGTTTCAAGTTCCAAAGCATCAAATATTCTTCGAATGCACCTCTCTAGAAAGCGGCACATGAGAGAGCATTAGGGGGGAAAAAATTTGATGCAGGGAATAAAAACTAAGGAGTGTGAATATGCATGAAAGATTGATTTATTTGTGCTTTTGTTTATTTTATAACTATTCATCAAAACTTTGAACTTGGTAACAATATTCTACTAGCACCATTACAAAAGAGAGGTAAATAAATATATGACTCAACAAACATGATTTTATATCTTTCATCCATTCATGGTTGACATGTTAAACTAACCTAGCTACTTGTCTCGGATGCTCTTTCGGTATTTAAAATTTTAAATTTTAGGTATGACATGTTAAAAATCAAGTACAATTAAAATAGTTATTTTTAAAAAGGATATAGTTATTTTCTAATTGTTCATATATAAATCATAAATTTGTATAAAGAAAGTAATTATTTTCTATTCCATTTTAGTCAATAACCCAATTAAAATAGTCATTTCCTATGATAGTCAAGGAGAGTAAATATATTATTTTATAACAAATCAAAATGTCAAATAAATTTTAAAAAACTAAATAATAATTACTTCATTTATTCAAAAATATAAAGTATTTTTTGAGATGGGATGAAAAATATAAACATTTTGGGTCTTTCAAAGTGTAATTGATGAGATGTTTTTAAAAATACCCTTGATGGATATGTGTAATTGATAAAGTTTTCTAACTAAGATATTAAATTAAATTAAAGTAAATATATAAAGAATGTATAGTTTTGAAAACAACTTAACTAATCTCATTAGGAGGGTAGTTCGAATTAAAAAGCTTCATAACGTTAAACGGAAGGAAAATCACATTTTTCAATATTTAATTGTCATTTACAAATTTCTAAAATATTATTTAACTTTTAATAAATAATCAATTATTTGGATATAAAAATAGACAACAAATTATCAATACCAATATAAATTTAATATGAAACATAAAAATTACTTCCTCCATTTAAAAATATAAGGCATTTTTTAGGAGTTGGATATTTAAAAATACAAGATATTTTTAATCTTTTGAGGTATAATTATTGTCCTTTTTTTTAAAAGAGCCTCTATTGATAATGACTTTATATTTATTG